TGCGTTCCTCTGGATATCCCGGGACCCTCAATTCGCACCTGAGGGCGGCCACCGAGGGGGTTTTTAGTGAGATTTCCCCCCCGTTGCCAAAAAAAGGATATTTCCTTTTTTTTCTTACATTCCTCGCGAAAGCTAGTATGAAAATAAATTATATGTTTTACATGCTAAGAAATTAATCGTGAACGTAAATTTAGCATCGAAATAAAACGACGTCGGAAAAAATGACGATCGTTGTTTATAAATCACCAAATCGTATGTTTTAGTTTTTTCCACGACGTTTGGTCGACGATTCCAAAATATTACGTTTAAAATTGTACCAAACAATCACTTAAAAGATATTGCATTATTTGATTAAATGGAAAAATAGATAACTATGTTTTACTTTGTTGTTTTTTTTTACTTCTACTTGCCCTTATCCCTTACGGAGGGTTAGCACAGTATGTGCTTCATACATCTCTATCAGCCGTCATATCTGAATTCCCTTCTTTAGCGTATCCTCTTTCACATAATCCTACTTTCTTCGGTCTTCCTCTACCTTTGTAACCACCCACATTTATATCTTCCATACATTTAATAATATTGGAGTATCTGTTTGTAATATCAAAAGTAAAATTCCAGATATCGGGAAGATGTATTTGCGTTGCTGGTAACGACAATCGCATTTAATTTTGTCTGTTCGCAAGCCGCGTTTGTTCCGAGTAATCTCCTAAACGGTTGGGCCGATTTCGACGGGACTCTTACTGAAGGGTAGCTGACATAGACGGGCATATTATAGGCTACTTTTTTATGTTATTGCGTTAACGATCTCGTAGGCAACAGCTAGAAAAAAACTATTTTTACAAATATCATACGAATCAAATGCGAAGGTTTAGATAGATGGTTGTTTTTTTTTACATATCTTCAAAACTGCTGAACGGATTTCGTTAAAATTTGGTACAGATGTAGAGGATAGTCTGGAAGAACACATAGGGTACTTACTTTTGTTTTTTTTTTTTAATTCTACGCGGATTTAGTCGCGAGGGACAGCTATTACAAAATAATTTTGAAATATCGTGTAGAGTTTATTTATTTATTTATTTATTTACACTTTGTACACAAGGAAAACAATCACAAAAAAAGATACATATTGAGCGTTGGTTGTACAGGCGAGCATAACTCTAATAGAGTTTTCTTACTGCTAACCGTTTCGATACAAATTAGATGTTTAGCAGGAGTTAGTTTTAGAGTTGTTTTAATTTTGTAACAAATTCTGTTGTTTTATTTGATTTTTTTAGCTTTATCAATTGTTTATGTTTAATTGATTCAAATATTGTTATTTATAAACTTGTATAGAAATTTTAAATCATTTTATTATTCAAATTATATTTCTTTGTGCAGTAGAAATAATGCAACAATAAAATTTGAATACCGCACATTGTATGAATTTAAATAATTTCCCGTTAATTAGTGATTTACTTCCTAATATTTATATTTATAATTAAAATAGAGTGGTTTTAATTGTCTGTAATAACAATTAAGATAAAAGAGATATTTAAGATTGTTTGTTTTGTTAAAAAACATCTCAAAAGTATAATATAATAAATAACATACTTAAAATTGATTTTTTGATAATAACATTATCATTTATAATAATAAAACACTAGCTTTCGACTGGAATTAAAAAAAACAAAAGTAAGTAGCCTATGTGTTCCAGACTATCCTCTACATCTATACCAAATTTCATCGAAATCCGTTCAGCCGTTTAGGCTACAAACTCTAACAAACATCCATCTAAACTTTCGCATCTATATTAGTACGAGCTATTGCCCGCGACTTCGTCTGCGTGGTAAAAAACATACAAACTATATAAATTACAAAAAGCTACGTATCCCTCGGAAAGCGGACAATTCTCGGGGATGAAGCTTATCCCATGTGTACTACAGACTTTGTTTTATATCTGTGCCAAATTTTAATAAGATATGTTGAACCGTTGCAGAATGATCGAGTGAACATTAAAAAACTAAATTAATGAATCCCACTGGAACCGTAACTATTCCCGGGATAAAAAGTAGCCTATGTGTTCTTCCAGACTATGCTATAAACCTGTGCCAAATTTCATAGATATCCGTTCAGCCGTTTAGGCTACAAACGCTAACAAATATCTATCCATCCATCCATCAATCCATCTAAACTTTCGCATTTATAATATTAGTAAGATATCAGTTTGTAGCCTAAACGAATGGCCACTGTTTGCCTTGAAGAGGCATTTACAGATTCACCGAGCTTGAGGTGGCCGATGCAAGGCGCTTAGTCTAAACCTCTTATAAGTAACAGNNGGGGGGGGAGCCGTTACTTCGTTTATTACCGGATTGGGAATTGTCATAAATGTAGAGGATAGTCTGGAAGAACACATGGGCTACTTGTTTTTTTTTATTCCACTGAGTGCGGGCGATTGCTAATACTTTACTAAAAGCAGTGTTGTACATATTTATGGTGAAAAACGTTATCGAAAATATCAATTATTGACTCTGACGTTTTAAAAAAGTATTTAATTAACAGTCTCAAATTATTTTGTGGTTACTGATATGTTAAATTGAATAATTTATTGTGTGTTTTGATATCTTATTAGAAAATAAATCTAGTATAAAATTACCTCCTGCCTTAGAGTCTGCATTCCAGCTATGTCATGGCCTACCAGGGGAACAGGATTGTGTGTGCATGCGATTCAAGTATTCTACCAAACCGATCGACATGCCAAATGTTTTTAATTGCAACACCACCACATTGTTTAAAAAAAAACTTGTTACATTCTCTATGCACCTCACTTACCTATTTTATTATTTTAAAATCAGCTACCATTTCACGAATTTTTATTTTTTAATTTCGTATTTATTATTTTTTTGCGCGTCACAACACTATATCACAAGTCCACTGTCCACTACGATTTTAAAAAGTTTTCTTACCGACGGATTTTTAAAATTCGAACAAGTTTTCTAAACGGCCAGTTTATTCGAATCGAAGTTTAAAAAAAAATTACTATCTAAGCCGAGTAAAGTAATTCAAAAATTAAAAATAAAAAAAAGAACATTCGAATTCGGTAAACAATCGTAGAGCCAACAAAAGCAGCGCTTCGCGGCTATCCGAAGCTGTACTGAAATTCTAAACCCCGACTTCGGTGTCTGTGTCGAACACCCCCCATTACTAAATTTCCAATCTATTCTAGAACATCACAACTCTACATGTACAACAAAAAAAGTACACCTTATTCCGTACACCAAAGAGTTCAAATTCCAATTAAAGCATATTCAACATCAGACTATAAAATAATACTACAGACAGGACAAGGCTATGAGAACGTATAATTTCAAGACGGAGCTGCGAGCCACACAGAGTGTCTATACCCGTCTCTTTCGCACTAATACGAAAAGCTGTATAAGTTTTCGCGATGTAATGCTTTGTTGTTCATTTTTTTGCTATTCTGTATTAAATTACGTATTATTTTGTGAATTAGATTGTGCGGTGTCATATTTTTACTCTATACCTGGTGATGTCTGCGAATGGGAAGCAGGTTGTATTCATACCGTTATAATAAATAGGGTAGATACGTATAACATTTAGTAAAATTTTAGAATTCAGTAAAAGCTTTTAATGATTCTTTACGATAAAAATAATTGACGATAAAAATAGTCATCATCATCAAGTTGCCCTTATCCCTTACGGAGTGTCGGCACAGTATGTGCTGCTCCATACATCTCTATCAGCCGTCATATCTGAATCCACTCCGTTCTTACGCATATCCTCTTCCACACAATCCATACTTTCTTCGGTCTTCCTCTACCTTTGTCATCCATTCTTAACACTTTCTGGTTTATGTCCCCATCGTCTCGTCGCATAACATGTCCATACCACGCTAACCTTTTGCTTCTCGATTTCTCCACCACTGAATAATTGAATAGTAGTTAATTTTTAAAAAAATCCTCCTTTAAATTTTCATTAGCATGTAAAACTAAGTTTCTAGTAAATCTCTTGCAGGCAACCCAATGGGACAGGAGAAGCAAGACAGACACACAAGGGTACTTAATAGATATATAAGACAAACATATATAATACATACATTAACGGCTTATTACATAGATACCAATAAACATTTTAAAATAAGTAAAAAAAGGGAAAAGCAAAACAACTCAGCTGGTAACCATCCTCAGGAAATAGCTGCGCAACTCAGTTTTAAATATTGCCAGTGACTTTGACTCCCGAATGTCACGTGGCAGATCGTTCCACAGTTGTGCAGCTTTCACAGTAAAAGAACTCACGAAATAACTTGATCTGGTAAAAGGTACATCAAGTATATTCCCAAAACCAGAGCGCAGCACCCGGCTTAGGTCGACATTTCGAAGTTGGAAAGACTCTTTGAGGTATGGGGGAGAACGAGGTTCAAATAAGACGTTATATAGAAGAATCAGAACATGCTCATCCCGACGGAATCTGATGGGAAGTCAACCAAGCCTCTGGCAACTCCGAGACGTGGTCGTATTTACGCAATCCATAAACAAACCTTATGCAAATGTTTTGTTTTCTAGTTTATGAAGATTTTCTTCACTAAGTGATCTTAAGACAGACATCTGCATAGTCAAGGATAGGGAGAAGTAAAGATTGCGCAAGTTCGACTTTAGTCTTCACAGGAAGAAGGTTTTTCCATCGGTTATTTGTTAGGTTATTAAAACTGTTCGGAAATTATTAATAAAACAGATTTAATATAAAATCTGTATTAAATACATTATTGTAACTATAAACAGCGGTGGATTGAAAAAAACACTAATATTTATTTATTTTCTCTTCTCCTTTGGCACAACAAAACATTTCACTTTGAAGTGATCACACATTTGTCGAACCTGAAACAAAAGAATCAAGCAATGTTACTTATATTCTGGTTATCTATACTATTTTTTTATAATATAAGGTGGCACGAGCAAGCGGCCTGAATCCACCGAAATGAAAAGCGGCCGCTGTCCATAAACATC